ATTTTTCCGCCAGAAACTCCAACAGCGCCCGATGAATCTAGTAGTATTAACTGACTGACTAACTGACTGAGTTTAGTTTTACGCCGCCTTTAGCAATATTCTAGCAATATCACGGCGGGGGACACCAGAAATGGGCTTCACACATTGTGCCCATGTGGGGAATCGAACCCGAGTCTTCGGCGTGACGAGCCAACGCTTTAACCACTAGGCTACCCCACCGCCCCTAGTAGTATTAACTGGACTGAGAAAAGAAAGCAGAAGGTGGCTGCAGTCCTAACCCCAGAATTGACATCACATGTGGTGTCCGACGAAGAGGACTGTAATCTTGTCCACTCTGTTGGATTTACATGGGAAAGCGAGAAGCTGCTACACTATAAGACTTTACTGGGCGATTGTAGGACAAAAAACCCTGTGGACAAAAGCCCCCTAGGACAAAAACCCATAAGGACAAAACCTCCAAATGAGGACCTCTGTACAAAACCCCCAAATATGTTTTCACTACTGAGTGATTGACCTAAGTGACATGTTTTGATTGAATCAGTAAAAGAGATTATCCCTGATAGGGATTAACAGGCTTCATTAATTATCTTAATAGTTAGATGTGTATACATTATGAAATATTTCAACTCACTATCATATTACAACTGGTATAAATATATGCTCCATAAACTAAGCAGGCAGTAGCATTCCAGCATGGAGGTAATCCAATCGAAGAGATGCTAAGATCTCCATTGAAGACTTTCTGATCGGTGTGGGACATAACATCAGGTTGTGTTGATGGTTAGTGCCCAAATTGTGATGGGGTTTTTGTCCTACATGGTGGGGTTTTTTTTCCCCAAGGCTAGGGGTTTTTGTCCACAGGTTTTTCCGCACACCTACTGGACAATGAACGAATGGCGTCAGCATGCTCCAGAGCCATGGCAAAAATGAAGACCTTGCGACGACGATTAGCTGAAACTTATGGAATATAGTTAATGTGATTAATAGAAACGGAAATCAAAGGGAAACCTAATTGAATTAAGTAAATAACTAAAACCAACTGAAAGTAGAGGAACTGAAAGTAGAGGATAGCAGAAACCCAATGGCACCTCTTAGGAATCTGGGTAACTGAAACTCACTGGAAACTTACGGGAATCTGGGTAACGGAAACGCACTGGAGCCTTACAGGAAGCTGGGTAACGGAAACGCACTGGAGCCTTACGGGAACCTGGGTAACGGAAACGCACTGGAGCCTTACGGGAATCTGGGTAACGGAAACGCACTGGAGCCTTACCGGATTGTGGGTAATTTGTAAGTTTCCGTTTACCGGAAACTTTAAGGAAATGTACAGAAACGGTCCGGAAACCTAACTGAAACTTAAGTTTCCATTTTGTTTCAGTTAGGTTTCCGGTGTCAGGAAACGAAGTTATTTTTGCTGTGTTAGAACTATAACACTCAATCATCACAAGCATCAATGGCGGATCAGAACAGATCGGCGACATGTCATATTTTTCACACACCTCAAATACACCCTAACAATTTTTTAAAATTTATAAAACTATCATTATTACTTGCAAACACCTTTCACCTGATGGTATATTCCCCTCATAGAAATTAAAGGTGTATGTGAAAGATGTTTTAGAACAATAACTAGAAACACTCAAACAACGCCCTGTAGTATTTCAATGGCAGATCGGCGGTATGTCATATTTTTCACACACCTCAAATACACCCTAACAATTTATTTTTAGTTATAAAACTATCACTATTACTTGCAAACACCTTTCAACTAAAGGTATATTTCCCTTCTAAAAATTAAACGAATATGTGAAAGAAGTTTTTAGCGATAGAATTTAGTCTTTCTTCGCTGTGTACTGAGAATTGAAGCCAGTGAGCTACATCATGCCGACTTGAAACTTTTCTACAAATCTACTGTACTAATACTGACACTAATAACAATTATTTGACTTAAAATGAAGTGACAGAATAGGTAACCTATCTTCTACATGTAGGTTTTCAGTTGTCACAACACTCAGCGTATGTAATCAGCTGTTGAAAATAAACCGGGCTCAATCTTAAAAACTACGCTGCAGCCATATTGGCTACACTGGTCACGTGACGAGCCGAGGCATACGCTAAGGGGCTTTCCGAGGAGTGACCACTCCCCCTTATATAGTCTCCCTGGAAATATGATACACGTTGGAAATCTATAAGATGTCTAGATATTACAGTCATGTTATAAATTCACTAAGTATAAGCAGATCGTGTGCATATTATTAAGTTTCAAAATGCATACAAATATGATAATAAACTAATTAGGATTATAAGACAAAATATAAAGACGTACATTGACTTCGTTATTTCAGTCCTAACATTTTTTACCACTGGCAGATGGTTAAACTTAAAATGTTTTCATTGGTCTGCAAAATATTGCCATTTAATAAGCGTTCAGATTGACTAGTAGTGAACCCAAGCTCACTACTCTTCCCAAGATTCCCCATGTACTTAGTTAGCCTTACTTTCAAACAATGCTATTATATCAGGCTTCTCACCAAATTCAAGGTCAAACTATTTCTTAAATCAAATTCTACATACATTTACGTTAACATTTTTATAAAGTCAACATTACTATGAAATGAAAATTTTACATCAAAATCAGCATTTTTATCAAAGTGAATATTTTTTTATAAGAAACCAAATTATTCATCACATGCAGTCTACATAAATTTACAACAAAATCAAGATTATCGAGTAAAAAAGATTTCATCTTCGTTGATCAGTCTATACCTATACTATCAGTTGCGCATGAGGGTGGCGCAGCAGAGGTAATGAACCAGTCATGAATTCTGGGATATCATCCGGGTACTCACGGGAGAAAAACAATAACAAAAGCAACAACCAGTCCACGGAAATTGCTCTGCATCAGTGGCCCTTTATTGAGTTAATTATTAATCAATTTCGTGTGTGCGTGCGTTCTTGCGTATGTAGGTATGTAGGTCACCAACCGCCACCACCAAACAGGCCAGACTCAAGTCCGCTCAAGATCGGGAAGACCAAGAGTCACACACAACGCCGGCCGAAGACCGGCAGATCCCCCTCTGGAACAGATTCGGGACCTTTATTCATGGTGCCCTTTATTCGACAACAGCCAAGAGGAGTCATTTTGCAGCACGACGACAGCCCCACTGAACATCTCTGGGATTATCTTGAGTGTCAGCTGAGACCGTGTGTACCACCTCCAACGAACCGACAGGAACTTGAACATACTTTCTTGGACTTATGGAAAAGGATTCCCACTGACGTCATCCGCCGACTGTGTCAATATTTTAATGACAGTTAGTTAAACAACTTTGTTATTTTTAGGACATAAATTCTGTTGGTCCGATGTTTTGATTATGATCAGCGTTTCATTGTGTTTTATATGTTAGATTGCAATTTTGAGCCAAACGGACTGTAAATGAGTTTAATCATCTGTCACAAATAATGAGAAATCATGCTTGTTTTGTCAGTATCGCCATAACATCGCCGGATTCAAACTCTGAAAATAAAAAAGAAATCATTAATTGGAATTTAAATTAAAATATTTTTCCAAGGGGTTACACAATGGTTTAACAACCATAAGTAGTTCACTCTTTTCCAATACTGTCATTTAAATATATAGTTGTTCAACTAATTGTCATATTTACCAGCACACACTGATGCGTTTACTCCGGCACTGTACAAAATATTTGGTTTGGAAGCAGCCTTCTCCCAGAAACAAGGGTTGTTGTGGAGTTTATCTACGACAACAAGCCATCCGACGTCCCCTGGACAACCCTCAAAGTAGCTGTTTATCTGGAACCGACGGTTGATATGGCCCTGCCTTAAACCCAAGAGGGGAGAATATGCGATAAAATACGATGATCATCACAAAATCAGACTTTTGTTTACGTTCAGTTGAAAATATGACTTAATCATGAAAGGATCAAAAGATGTAAATTCCAGCTATATGGCGGCGGATCTTCATGGGTTAGACCAAAGGGTTGATTTTATTGATTGCTGTATAACGCCGTACTCAACGATATGTCGGCGGTCTGTTAATATTTGAATCTGGACCAGACAATCCAGTGATCAACAGTACGAGCATCAGTCCTATGAATTGGGATGCGATGACATGTGTCAACCAAGTCAGCGAACCTGACGACCCGACCCGTTAATCGCCTCTTACGACAAGCAAGGGTTACTGAAGACCAATTCCAACCTGGATCTTTATGTGTCTAGACCAAAAGAAAAAAGTTGACCAGAATCTTCACGTGTCTAGACCAAAGAAACAAGTTGTGTCGGATGAATGATTTCAATGAATGGTACGTGTCTACCCCTCTGAGATCTCAATGAATGGTACTAAATGAAAATATTAAATCCTGAAGTTTTAATGTCTGTCCAGGTGGAGTTGATGATGCGGTTTGGGGCAAACCAGCTGTCTTTCGTGGTCCCGGCTCCATCAAACACAACCTCTGCTTTGACAGTGTTCTCTTTAATACGACAACTTTTACCTGAAAATAATAATTAAATTTGTATAATTATGACCTCTTACACAAACTTATGTGACAAATATAACACAATTATTTGCGAAAATATTTTATTTCCGATTCAGTTTTCATTACACGATAAAATATTATATCCGACTGTTTTATAGAAGACCATCACTTCTTCCCATCCGTTTACCACCGTTTAATTAATGTTGTGCCTCGTCTCATCATTTGAAAATAAGACTTGAATATTAAAAAGATCTCAGTTTTCATCAGAGGAGACATTCGGGTCCATCTTTGATGTGACTTTAACAATACATTGCAATTACCCGGCCAATACTGGCGTTTTCCCACGTTGATACCAGTTTACTTTTAAAATGCATATCACACGGAAGTGACGTGTCAAGGGTCATACATCCGGGTTGCAAATTCTCATTCACTACCGGGTGATCATGGTATATGGTGTCATCCATCCACACGTCGTACACCGATATGTTGACGTCGGCTGTGGCACGAAGCAGTAAGACCCAGCCATCAATTGACTGAAAGTCTGAAAGCAATGTATGTTTCATTGAACCAAAACATGTATATCGGTGGAGAATCTGAATATTTCAAACTCTCTTTATTTCAAAAGCTGGAAGACCCGTGAAGGTCCGGGTAAGAATTTTGATCTTCAGTAATCCATGCTTGTCGTAAGAGGCGACTAACGGGATCGGGTGGTCAGGCTCGCTGACTTGGTTGATACATGTCATCGGTTCCCAATTGGGCAGATCGATGCTCATGATGTTGATCACAGGGTTGTCTCGATTATTTACAGACCGCCGCCATATAACTGGAATATTGCTGAGTGCGGCTTAAAACTAAACTCACTCACTCAAAAGCTGGAAAATGAAACATTGTCGTACACTGAACATCATATAGTTAAGATATTCTCGCGTATGTAACATCGATGTTATTGTCATGTTAAATCTACGGTTCCAAGTGAATGTGTCAAGGAATTACCGATGTGAAATTGAGATCGATTTTTACTTCAGTACTAAAGAAAACAGGCAAACAAAAATTACTTTACAACAATTCCGAAACATCAATATTACATTACTTGTAATCATTGTAAAATGACAAAACACAAATGACGATCACAATAACATTATATTTTGTGTACTTAGACTGCGCTAACCCTGGTCAATAGATTGATGTGTGTTGCAACCCACGCTGCATGTGAAGCGCTAGAAGGTTATGGAATATTGCTGAGTGTGGCGTTAAACAACATACAAACAAACGTTACTGTAATGTAAACGAAAGCAAACCTTTCAGTCAGTAATTATTAAAGGTCTACAAAGATCAATTCAGAACTACTATGATTAATGCCTGCTGTTTTACGGAGAAATATTGCAGTAATAGGGCCAGGCAAAACAGTGATTGATATCATGAGCATCGTATTACAGGTTAATACATACAGGTCTCTTATGAAAGTGCTGAGCACCTATTCAGTTCCTTTTGACACGTCTCCAATTGCAAAAATCAGTTTCTTTAAATTAAAGTTTTGTATTCAAAGTTTACATTTAAACTTTATATTTCCATAAAACTATTACTCACTTTTCTTACACACAGGCACCCCTATCCACTGGCCACGTTCATCACATACCCCTGTGTTAGTACCATTATATAGGTCGGTATTATTGACACATGTGATAGTGACAGTTGATCCAAACACTGTGCTGTTGAAGGACATGAGCGTGTTTTGGGCTTCAGGTACAGGGCCGCAATCAACCACTGGAAGAAAAAGTGAGCATATACTTTAAAACCGATCTCGTTGTTGGAGGAATCACCACCTACCGATTAGGATCAGGAAAGATATAAATTATCCTGAATTAGAAAATATGCGTAAAATAAACCTTTTTTTCTGGACTTCAGTGGGTGAGTTGTTTTTTACGCCGCTTTAAGCAATATTCCAGCAATACACCAGAAATAGCCTTCACACATTGTACCCATGTTGGGAATCGAGCTCTGACCTTGGTGGTGACCACCAGGCTACCCCGCCGCCCCTTTTGGACCTAATTGTTCAGTAGTGTTCAGCTGTTACTTGATCATGATTTCATACCGCCTTCAGCAATATCACGGCGAGGGACATGATAAAATCCTCTTTACAGGCTGTATCCATCTTAGGAATCGAACCCGGGACTTCGGAGTGGCGAGCGAACGCTTTAATCATTAGGATACCTTCGTCTCTGATTATAGAGATATGTTTGTGTCTCAGTTAACTGATCAGTGAGTGACTGAGTGACTGAGTTTAGCCGTACGTCGCTTTAGCAATATTCCAGCGCGTTAATGCAAATTGTGATTGAAACCAGTTCGGCAACCACCGACAACACCGCGTGCGACAGTTTTCGATGCATGGAGCAATAACTGATTTCAGGCAAGTCGTAAGGGATAATAACTTTTATTGTATCGATAGGAAGCTAAAGTGAGTGCATATGTCCCAATATATATAATAATATAGTTCGGGGCGGTGGGGTAGCCTAGTGGTTAAAGCATTCGCTCGTCACGCCGAAGGCCCGGGTTCGATTCCCCACATGGGTACAATGTGTGAAGCCCATTTCTGGTGTCCCCCGCCGTGATGTTGCTGGAATATTGCTAAAAGCGGCGCACAACCATACTTACTCGCTCACACACTAATATAGGTCAGAGACAATCAGAAGACTACGACGAATACGGCTTGAATATAAGTTCACTCTCTCGGGGAACCTACTTCGGTTTCTTATGAACCCCAAGCTTAATATTAATAGATATGTTTAGTATTTATGATTGTTTAGCTACACATTAACAAATATGTAAACATACGATTAGATACCCGTGAAGGTCCGGGTTATAATATTGATCTTCAGTAACCAATGCTTGTCGTATGAGGCGACTAACGGGATCGGGTGGTCAGGTTCGCTGACTTGGTTGACATATGTCATCGGTTCCCAATTGCGCAGATCGATGGCCATGCTATTGATTACAGGATTGTCTGGTCCAGACTCGATTATTTACAGACCGCCGCCATAAAGCTGGAATATTGCTGAGTGCGGCGTAACACTAAACTCATTTACTAACTAACTCACATACGAGTGGACAAGACTTTTAAAATGGCACATTCATGTGAAAGTTATATGTCATGTAATATGAATCGCGCAAACAGGCGAGCACTTTCGCCTTTTAGATGGAAACGGGAAGATAAGCAAACTTGCCCATATATAAACGATTATGCTTCTACTGCAAGGACATAACTGAGGATGAATCACACGTCTTACTACATCGCCCCTTTTACAACCACATCAGGATGCTGCTTTTTTACAAATGGCATGATATTACACTTAGAGATATGCCTGATGTTGAAAAGATATGTCACGTTTTAGCCAAGCCCTTATTTATCTTTATTAGTGCCAAACCTGCAAGGATATTTTGCATACTTGAAGTATATCTAATATAAAAAGGTTTACCCATGAAGATCCGGGTTAGAATTAATCTTCAGTAATCCATGCTTTTAGTGGCGAATAATGGGATCACGTGGTCAGGCTCGCTGACTTGGTTGACACGTCATCGGTTCCCAATTGCGCAGGTGGATGCTCACGCTGTTGATCACTGGATTGTCTGGTCCAGACTCGATTATTTACAAACCGCCACCATATAGCTGGAATATTGCTGAGTGCGGCGTAAAACTAAACTCACTCACTCACTATAAATAATACATTTTAAACTTTACTATCTTTTTATGCTATTTCATCTTTTAATATACTAGTATGCCTTGTCTCATAACTCCAGTTGGAGTGGCTTGTATATTTTATCAATATTTATATGTGCGTGCACTATGTATATATAAGGTGAGACTTAAATACAATTTTCTGCCTGTCTGTCTATATCTTCCAAGTTTGAACTATCATACCTGTTCTCGGGGAACATATGTTCTCAGTGAACTGAAGCAAATCGAAAAAACAACAACGTGAAAATACCTTTACAAATTCCAGAAACATTTTCCCAGTGGCCACTTTCCGTGCAAGATACACTGTTGTTGCTACCAGAGAAGTTGAATCCAGGGTTGCAGATAACAAGGCCGAGAGAACCGTAGGTTGTGGTGTTATAGTTAAAACTGCCGCCAGGAATAGAACCAGGAAGTCCACAATCAACAACTGTGAACAGAAACTGCCACATAATGCAAAATGTCATTTTGGTAATATTTCATGAGGGAAGGTTAATCTTCATGCGACTTGGAACAGTACTCAGTTATTCCATAACCTGGCATCTTAATGGTGGTGGGAATACAAATGGAAATGTCGAAGACGTTTAATTGTCTTAATGAACCCTTACAGCATCGGAAGTGACAACCCTTGACTCCTGAGTGAGTGAGTGAGTTTAGTTTTACGCCGCACTTAGCAATATTCCATCTATATTGGCGGTCTGTAAATACTCGAGTCTGGACCAGACAATCCAGTGATCAACAGCATGAGCATCGATCTGCGCAATTGGGAACCGATGACGTGTCAACCAAGCCAGCGAGCATGACCACCCGATCCCGTTAGTCGCCTCTTACGACAAGCATAGTCGCCTTTTGTTGCAAGCATGGATTGCTGAAGACCTATTCTACCCTGGATTTTCACGGGTCCCTTGACTCATGATATGGGTGAGTCAAGGAAGCGCCGAACATTGAATCTTCGCTCCCACAAAAGAGGAGCCTTTGCACAGCAAGATGCAGAGCATTAAACGACTTGTTTGTCCGTATTCTGTCCTCCCATGACACGTGACGATCCGGGGCCCCGTTTCAGAATGCTATCGTAGCGCTACGACTGTCGTAAGTTTATGTTACAGGGCCTACATTTTCGAAGCTCTCTTAGCGCTAAGATAGTCGTAAGTTAATGTTAATGTATGGTACTTACGACTATTTTAGCGCTAAGAGAGCTTCGAAAATCTAGGCCCTGTAAAGGAGGTACGACAGTCGTAACGCTACGATAGCATTCTGAAACGGGGCCCGGGATTAGAATTGCTTGTCGTAAGATGCGACTAACGGGATCGAGTGGTCAGGTTCGTTGTCTTGGTTGACACACGTAATCGTATCCCAATTGTATAGGTCGATGCTCATGTTGTTAATCACTGGATTGTCTGGTCCAGATTGAATTATTTATTGACCGCCGCATGTAGCTGGAATATTGCCGAGTGAGGCGTAAAACGATAACCTAACCAAACCTGTCCGGCCACATTCATTACTCGCAAAACATTTTCTTTCGCATGAGAAGCAATTGGGTCATTATATAAAATAAATGCATTTAAACGCATATGAATAATATGTAAGTGACTACCATCAATGCCATAAAAAGCAATGTGGAAATCGTACTCACTGTTGCACGAAATGTTGAACGGTTGCCACCGCCCTTCAGCTGAGCACTCCACCTTGGAAGAACCCGACAGAGTGTAACCTGTGTTACAAATGGCAATACTCCGGGAAGTATAGGTCGACGTGTTGTACACGAAAACACCGCTGGCTAAAGGGTCAGGTGGGCCACAGTCGACCACTGAAAACAGATTCAAAGTGAGTGAGTGAGTATGGTTTAAGCAATATTCCAGCAATATCAGGACGGGGGACTCCAGAAATGGGCTTCACGCATTGTGCCCATGTGGGGAATTGAACCCGGGTCATCGGCCGTGACGAGCGAATCTTTATACACTCGCCTACCCCACCGTCCTACAGATTTGATTTAAAGATATTTTATTCACAATTGTGAAAGGGATTGGGGACAAGTTATCCAACTTAAAATATCTGCTCACTGACATTTACATACATGCATTTTCAATATTATAGATCTTAGGAAGGAATAGAGAGAACGTGTAAGAAAGTTAGAGAGAGAAGAGAGGAAGGGACAGTAATTATTTGATTACTCAAAAACGTTTTGATTGATAAGTAAAAGTTTGTACTCATTTGAAAACATATTCATTCCGTTGAATAGTCATATCTGGACTTCCAAGTAACAATGTCATTGGAGAGTCACGCTTTACAATACTTTTCACATTTAACATTAATTTAACTCTTTGAATGTTATACAATTTACATTCTAATAGGAAGTGATGTACATTTTCACAAGCATTGCCGCAGTAACAAGAAGCAGAATCTTTCATGTTAAGACGATACGGTTGGAGACTTTTGATGTAGATAGCTTCTTGGAGTTGGATCTACATCAAAACACTCCATCCATCAATAAACCTTGACCAAGGCTGTTATATACCTCCGGCATACTACCAACTCATCAAAGAGACCCATCACTGAGACTTCACCATCCCTTTGTGTATGCTGCAGGCCTGACGCTTCCATCTACCTAGGCAATGTGTTGTTATTGTTACTGACTTCCATAGGTTATTGCAGTCCTAATCCAAATTGTACTATACAAATATCTCTTCCCCCCCCCTCTCTCTCTCTCTCTCTCTCTCTCTCTCTCTCTCGCTCTCTCTCTCTCTCGCTTTCACTGTAATAAAGAAGTTGATCATCCATATTGTTATCCTTCCTTATTGATCCAACTGCTAAATGCCTCTGAAAGAAGTTGTTAAATATCTGGGTTTGGATACAGCTCTATTTATACAAACGTGTTGACCACGATCACTTATGTAACTCGAGATCCTCAGTAAACGCTTGCCTCTAATACCATACATCTCCAATTTAAGTGTAAGCCCTTTGTGCCACACACCATCAAAAGCTTTGGACACGTCAATAACTAGCATGCAACACCTTTCTTTGTTGTCGAGAGATGTACATATTTGATGGTAAAGTTCAATTAATTGATGGGCAGTAGAAGAACCTGCTTGTAAGCGTGATACGTACTTATATAATATTTTGTCAACATGGAAATAATTATACAAGTGTTTATATACAACTCTCTCAAATAGTTTTCCTTTGCAGCGTGTAAGAGAAATACCTCTATAATGGGAAACATTAGTGTGATCTCCTTTCTGGTATCATGACGAGAAATAATTTCGACAAATACGATTGAAAACCTGGTTGATTCAAATTTACATAGTTTCTTTTCGGACTTACGCACCCTTTCTTGTACACTGAGGGCGGCGGGGTAGCCTAGTGGTTAAAGCGTTGGCTCGTCATGCCGAAGACCCGGGTTCGAATCCCCACATGGGTACAATTTGTGAAGCCCATTTCTGGTGTCCCCTGCCGTGATGTTGCTGGAATATTGCTAAAAGCGGCGTAAAACCAAACTCAGGCAGTCAGTCTTGTACACTGACATGACATATGAACTTTTCTACACACTAGATTGCAATGATAAGTAAATGAACAGTAAACATAGGTCTCAGATATGGACTTAGCGGTTTTCTTTAATAATGACTTATTTTCTTTCCGGTCCTGAAGCTTTGTTCAGCTGCAAACATTTTATGACATCAGATATTTCCTTCTTAGAAATAAATATTTTATCTAACTGCGTGTTGGCCTTTGAAGGAAAATGTGGTAATGGTACATCTTTATCATATAGACGAGATATTGATTCGAAATATGATTTTTTTCAGCTTTTTCAAAATTATCAATATTCTGCTTCAGAGGAGGAGCAGGCAAAGTAGAGCCCGAGTTTTAAAAAATATACTGTCATTATCTCCAATATAAAGTTTTATTTTTAGCATATAATTCCAAAAGTAGGTCATCAATATTAGAATAAAAGTTTTCGTTCGCATAACATTTTTTATGTTGTATACTCTCTTTCTCTGATGTTTGTAAGCTTTCATATCGCTCTCTTTTTTAGTTTTCTTGGTTTTTCTCCGTAATCTGTCCTTTTTTTGGATTCCCCCCTCAAGCTTTGTCGTACCATGGTTTGTCATTTGCATGAATTGTTACTATTTTTGAAAGAATGCATGGTTTCGCATGCTGAGTAAAATTGTTATAAACTAATGAAGATGCATCATAAACATTTGAATATTCACCTTACAGACCATTCCAATCTACCCCACAGATTCAGACAAACGATTTATTGGGGAAGTTTAATAATTAAACTAAACTAAACAATCACGTTTTGATGGAATGGTTTCCATGATCTGGTGCATTTACAGGTGGGTAATTATTTAAGGTTTTGCTTATTGTTCATTGAAGCATGAGCCTTAATTGAGAGAGGACCAACCTGTTTGACGTTGGAGTCATCCTTGATAAATGTATTGTTACACTTCTCGCTTATACTCGAGAGATAATAGCCCAATTCCATTTAGCTCTCTGTCTTAGAGTTTACATTAGTTGACACATGTCATCGTATCCTAATTGCGTAGCTCGATGCTCATGATGTTGACCACTTGATTGTCTGGTCCAGACTGAATTATTTATTGACCGTCGCCATGTAGCTGGAATATTGCTGAGTGCGGCGTAAAATACAACCAAACCAAACCTGTCTGTCCATATTCATTATTCGCAATACATTTTCTTTCGCACGAGAAGCAATTGGATCATATTTACAAACTGTCGACATGTAGCTGCGTTGTTGAGTGCGGCGTTAAACACCAACCAACCAACCAACCAACCATCTTCTACAGTTGTATCGTAAGGATTGCGTTAGTGAACTAACTTAAGGGTCACACCAGCAGTATTTCAGCCATACCGTGACTAGAAAGGTGTTGCATAAATAATAAATACATGTTGTAACAAATTGAAGTCATCAAGGGACTTTACAACCAAGGCAATCATAAAACCTGGTATGTTAATCTGAAACTATTTTATTATTGAAGACAGTACAATATAAAATGATCGCCAGCAACTAGAGGTCGATCAGCATACTTGGAACCGTTGAGGATCATGTAGCAAAGTATCATCTCTACACATGGGTAATCATCTACAAACATATTGTGTTAATTTTCCAAGAGGATTGGGTTCCCAGCATGTCAACAGTAACGTGATTCCTTAACGCCGCTAGCCTCAAGCACATGACCAGACCAGCACGACATCAATAATTGGTTGGTTATTCCAATTATCGGCTTCCATCATGTGGAGAGGTATTGAACAGTAGGGCGTTAAACTGACTGACTGACTGCGTTTGGTTTTACGCCTCTTTTAGCAATATTCCAGCAACATCACGGCGGGGGACACCAGAAATGAGCTTCACACATTGTACCCATGTAGGGAATCGAACCCGGGTCTTCGGCGTGACGAGCCAACGCTTTAACCACTAGGCTACCCCACCGCCCCAGGGCGTTAAACAACAACCCCCAATTCAATATTGACGTCTGTGGTTATGTCTGTTTTATTGTCTTACAAACTGAGTGAGTGAGTAAGTTTTGTTTTACGCCGCACTCAGCAATATTCCAGCTATATGGCGGCGGTCTGTAAACAATCGACTCTGGACAATCAAGTGATCAACAGCATGAGCATCGATCTACGCAATTGGGAACCGATGACATGTGGCAACCAAGTCAGCGAGACTGACCACCCGATCCCGTTCGTCGCCTCTTACGACAAGCATGGGTTACTGAAGATCAATTCTAACCCGGATCTCCACGAGTCCATGTGTCTATGACATTCAATCCTAATAATCTCATGTAGATGGCGAATTAGATAAGCAACACACCGGTCATCTTTATAGCCTGGCGTTGTTATAGGTTGTTCAAGTGTAAGGTGCCTTTAAATACTAAACATCTAAACAAACATTTGCCTTTAAGGGGTTGTAGGATGTTTTCACTGCTTTGAATGTTTAGTGTCTCGCTGATTGCGGTGACCCCAAGAAACATCCGTTGGATACATCTAGGTCTGTGTTAAAACGGCGTAGATTTTCACCAGAAAATGAACTTTGTTTTTTTCTGAGGCCTTAGCATCCAGCAAGCCGAAACATTTGACATACCCACTTCATTGCCTAGAATGGCACATGGCATGCTGCCCTCTGTCTTGGTTATCTGGAGTGAGCGTTGTCTATCATACATTACTCTATGATGGAATACCAAAAGACGTTAAAATATGGTACTTGTTTGTCCCTGCCTGGCGCTCGGCATTAATGGGTACAACAAGGACTGGTCGGCTCAGAGTCAGTATAATGTGTCTGAGTGGGGTATTCATGCTTCACTGCGGCATGGTATCCCAGTGGGCTAGCACTATAAAAACAGCTTCAGTCTGGGCTTGTACAAGCAGCCGCACATACACATACACACGCATGCGCGTCGTCATATGAGCGAAATATTCTTAAGCACGACGTAAAATCCAAATTTCACCTCACCTCACCTATGATGTAAAGTATCGACAGTTTCCTACATGGCAGCAGTTGAAGGTCTTCCTGGATAATCTTTTTGGCTTTCTTGTCCTTGTACTCCGCTGCCCACTTCTTAACAGTGGCAACATAGGGAACAACATCTTTTAATTTCATACAGGCCTGGACAACTGTCTGTATCCCCTTTATATGGATACACTGGACAGTAGCCAATATACTACAACGGAGAATATAGATGGATCCCCCTCGCTGGGTGTACAAATATGCTACTGACAACTGACCAGATAAAGACTTGACGGTCGCCACGTGTTCATGACGGGGCTCACGGCCATTACGGTTAGGAAGTC